TGAATCGGTACTTCGCAAAGAGTACCCTCATGAGGCGAGACCAAACACCAGGCATACCGGCCAATCCCATAGGAGCTACACACCACTGGTAAGTTTCAGCGTGCGTGCGAAAGGCGGTATACTTGCGACTCTTGAGCGCGATACGCATCTGGTGATATCCTTGAGTCAAATCTAGAACTGAAAAGATGACACAACCAGACATCTGATCGAAGAGTTCGTCGATGCGAGGCAGTGGGATCTTTGGAACAATCGACTGCGAGTTCACATAGCGATAGTCGTTGACCCAACGGATAGGCAAAGTCGAGTTTCCAGAGCGTACCCACTCAGAGCGAGACAGCTGATGTCCAGAAGTAGGAACTTTCTTTGGAATCCCAACGATGTTGGACACCATACGATTTCTGCCAAAGGACTTGCTGCTGTGACGGGGAGCTTTGCTGCCCACGTCTAGGGATGTCGTCGCTACGACATCCGAGGCACTCGTGGCCTCGTGTGGTACTATTGTACCCACACAGGAAGCGTGTTCAACGCCTTCCTCTTCAGTTAAGGTCTGGGCGACCGCGTGTGGCACTGTGTTACCCACACAGGAAGCGTGTTCAACGCCTTCCTCTTCAGTTAAGGTCTGGGCGACCGCGTGTGGCACTGTGTTACTCACACAGGAAGCGTATCCGACGTCTTCCTCTTCAGTTATGGTCTGGGCGACCGTGAGTGGAACTCTGTTACCCACTCTGAACACGCTGTTCTCAGTGTTCATGACAGCTGCAGCTGTCTGCGGAACTAAGTTACCCGCCTGTGGACCTAAGTTACCCACTTGGCCGGCGCCTCTTCTGGGCGCGGCCACCATCAAAACATCCTCGGAGTCGTCATATACGTCGACGACTCCCAAGCATCTGCCGGATGCTTTGGTACCCTGGCAGCCCTCGCGGGCGCCCCGGGTCCTGACAGAGGTGGGAACATGACTCACCAATGCTCTGTCGGACTGCGCAGGGCGGCTGGCACCGATTGCCTTGCCTCGCCAGTCGATCCAGGGCTCGTGCTTCTCAAGCCAGGGCATGCCCAGGATCATATCATATGGATCCATATCGAGAACAGTGAACTGTTCGAGGCTGTCAAAGTCTTCAAACTTGACAGCCAGATCCACTTGGACGTTGGGGACAGTGACGACCTTCCCGTCGGCCAGTCGCACTGACACCGTCCCGTTGCCCTTGCTTTCTCGCAAAGCTTCGGACAACTTGTTGCTGTTACGAGCAACCGTCTGGCGGCGTGCGAAATTCTTCGACGCCCCAGAGTCAATCAAGATTCTAAAGGGGTGATCGTACCCCCGTACACATCCGTGTACTACGAGCAATCCGCCGCTGCTCTTCGCCGATTCGAGAGTGCGAAGACTCTCAGGGGCTAAGTCCCCGTGGTACGCGCCACCCGCGCACCCATCACGAAGACTTAGTTCTTCCCCAGTAGGGCGCCCCGCCCCTACTGGTTCCCTGCGTTCCCCTGTCCCCGGGATCCTGGCTTCTGCCAGCGACCCTTGAGGACGGGCTTGGGGAAGGACCGTCTGCGGAGTCTTTCCGCGGGACAGTCGCGCTTGAAGTGGCCCATCTTCCCACAGCCGAAGCAGCGGATGTCACGCTGTTCGGCGGACCCGAGTTCCATGGGAACTGGTCCGTTGGGGCTTGTTCGACCGGGAGCCGACAAGGAACTCCCAGGCCACGCTGAGGCCGGCGTACGCGCCTGGCGATGGCTGTATTCTTCTTGAAGAGCCACTTGAATCGCCTCTTCAAGGGTGCTTGCCTGCACCCGGAACAGCTGAGTGCGTGCGGGGCCCACTCGAAGGCCGTCCATGAACACAGTCATCTTGATGTATTCATTGAGTGGGTTTCCCACTAGGGACGCCGTGAGCTCCCGTATCTCTTGCACATACTCGTGCAGTTCGCGTCTTCCTTGTTTACACGCGAGGAAGCGCGAACGCTGGCGGTACTCGTAGTTCGCCGGGAGGAACGCGGCTCGGAGCTGTTCGCACAGCTGAGCCCAGGATGTGAAACATCCAGGGGATGTCGCTTTCCGAGTGTACACCCAACTCTTAGCACGACCGCTAAGGTTGGAGAGTGCAAAAGCAACACGCAGTTGCTCGGTCGAGATCAGAGCCGCGTCCATCGCGAGCTCTACTTCTCGGACCCAGAAGTGAAGGTTCTCGCCTTCCTTCCCTTCATACGGCTTTACCTTCAGCCGTATTGGCTTCGGGTGAGGCGGGTTTGCTTCCGCCGCCGGAGCCTGCAGGTTCTCCCGCACATGCGCGATGAGGCCCTGCTCGTACGCGTCGAATGCATTGACGCGCTCGAGCTGCTCAGCCGGTGTTGATACCACCAGGCTCTGCAGGGCCTCCATCCCGAAGATGCCTGCCATCTTCCGAACCGACTCGAACTGAGAGTCGTTCATATGGGAGAAGTCGTTCCTATCCATGGCAACGAACTTCGGAGGTTCAGGTAGTCTACCCGCGATGGCGTGGATTGACTACAAGTGCTACCAAGTGTGACGGGGTCACACAGCACCTTGCGCTAGAGGAAGTTATCTTCCGAGAGTATACAAACTCTCAGTGAACGGCAGTTCACAGGTCCCCTCTTTAATTAAAGAGAGCGAAGTGACCTAAATAAGGTAGATTGTAAACTGAGTATATTTATAGGTAGGTTAAGTTTGAGGTTAATACAAACTATCAGTTACCTATAGAAATGCAATGTCATTTAACCAATAGGCCACAGGCTAAAAAAGTGAATTTTTCGTCAGTTATGTGCATGTACCTTATATAGCAGTATTTGCTCACGATACAACGCTATCTGGCGCAAACAATACAGTTTCAAATTTAAAACGCCTTAATAATTCTAAGCTGCGATATTTTCGCATATAGCTCAATCACTTTTAATATAACTAGGCTGCAGCTGTAATATTCAAGTATACATAACAGCGTGGTATCATTGGCAAAAATATGTATCTGAAGCTAGTGCGACATCGTATTATCTATAATATATCTGGTTTTCGCGAAATCCTGGCCATTTAATTTGGAAAAAAGTCAAAGCACAGAGAGGAAGCTCAGATTCACTTGTCAATTACCAAGATGCCCAGTACAGCCAGCCAAGTGTTCGACCGCCTCAACCATCAGTGGGAGGACGAGACCTCCAACCTCATTGGCAAGTTGGAAAGTGAGGAAGATGAAGTGTCTCGCTGCTGTATTTGCACTTGTAGAGTACCTGATATTGTACTGGCGAGATGAAATGCAACACCAAACATTGCCCCTTCACAACTTCTCACCCAATTACCCAATTTATATGAGCTTTTTTTTGTTGGAAAGATAATGATTTCTTCTCTTAAGTAGTCATAATCATCCTTGAATATCTGCTCAAATTCACATGCTACACTTAATCGAAAAGTGCGTGTCTTTCGTTCCGCCCAAAAAATCGAGGCTATGTTCTTGACATACGGCATCAGATGTTTTGGTCCTTACAAACTTTAGTATTACAATCAACAATGCCCTTTTTACTCATTTCTATGCACATTTGATCCTAGGAAGTGGGGCTGTCGGCGATGCGTTTAACACTGCATGCAGCAATCCCTACGCTGCTCCTGTAGCTAAAACCAACTTCTGCAGATGCGTTGCATTCCAAGCTGCATTCTGGCGTAAAGCTTGTCACTTTAGGCTTCTTTGTTTATTAAATATCGCAAGAAATGTTCTGTGCATGCATGATCAGCATCAATTTCCCGCAGACGTTTGAGCTTCCACCATTTTAATAAAATACAAGAAAGTCAAACAACGTGTGTTTGTCTGTGATCTCTGTGCTACCCTGTTTCCATTGCGGGTCTGCCGGCATTAATCCGATAATTACTTTTGTATTTATGAGCAAAACAAAAAAATGGTGGTGCATTTCATCTCGCCAGTACAATAGTGTACCGGTATTGATAACAAAGAGTAATTCATAACTAAGGTATAGGCAGAACCCAGGTGTCGCTGAAATAGACCGACTCTTGGGTAGAAGCCTCCATAATTTAATTTTTGGGTCACAAATGTAGCCAACTGTATTTCATAGGATCGTACTTATACCAGAAGTAGCATGAGATGCGAAGATACTAAAAACAGCAGGGTAAATGCAAAAAAACAAGCATGTGCTTTTCCAAGAATCATGTTTTCCGGAATAAGGCATGGAATTCGCATAAAATTAGATTTTATGCGAAATCAAGCACCATACGCTAAGACACACTTTTTGAGACTGTTATCTAATGGATGACCTTGGTACCCTGTACCAAATATCCCGGAGTATGACATGTCATACTCCTGAAGTGTGAAGTGTCACACTTCATGTAACCAGGGTACACTTAGTGCTACGTACCAACAGCAGCTATAAGCAGTACCTCAAAAATTGGACGCAGCACCACTCTGGTCATCTTGTATTTAAAGCAGCAGCAGTAGTAGTATGACGTCCCAATGAAAATATCTACTAAAAAATCTGCAACTTCAAACGCATGCAAACAACCGTTAGCGAGGTACAAACAACAAGAACATTAAAAGATGCCATCGTTCGTGGGGTTTCCACTGGAGTCCGTCCGAACAAGGAGGCCGCTCACTTTCCAGTGACGAAACGAAGAAACGCAGATATGCTGGCACATGGTAATAGATCAAAGATAAGATCAGCTTTTTGTTACTATGATACTTCGACCTAAAACCGCAATGAGTCTTGTCGGAGGATCTATCCCTTCGCACCCATGCGCTTGTGCCCTCTCAAATATCGGGGTGCATCGCTGCAAAAGCTTCGATTGGTGCGAGGATTGTGACCTGCCATCTATCCCAATTGCTGTGTTTGTCGAGGCGACGACGAGGCATCGCGCGTTGAAGTGCGTGCCGTGTGTTGGTGGTCTTTGGCTCCCTCGGTACACGACACGCCAACGGATGACAGAGTCGCGCCGTGTTCCCTCGCCGATCTCAGTCTCATTCTCCATTTGACCCGAACGAGCACAGGACCATGGGCGCCGAAGCCATCAGCAGCAGCAACAGCGCCGCCACGATGCCGGAGATGGAGAAGGATCTCAAGGTTTGCGATAATCGTCGATACCTTCGCCCTGTCTTCCTGGTCATCAAGTGCTTACTCAGTCGGTCAATTTTGCTGTCTTCAACAGATCCCTCGCCACATCGCCGTCATTATCGATGGCAACCGTCGCTACGGCAAGAACAAATACGGTTCGGGTACTCGTGGCCATTCGGACGGCACCAAAACTGTCATGAACTTCACCGACTGGTGCATTGATGCTGGTGTTGAAGCTCTCACAGTCTTCGCCTTTTCAACGGGTGCGTCGATTCGTCCATGGTCTCCGACGGTGCTAACCGAAGTGGTTGTATCATTTTCAGAGAACTGGAAGCGTGAGAAGGCTGAGATCGATGCCCTGATGAAGCTTGTCGATGGCTTCATCCACGACATCCTTGGCGAAGCACTCACTCGCAACATCCGAGTGCGGGTGCTAGTCTCAGACAGCCGCAAGCTGCCAGCTTTTCTAGTCAAATCCATCCAGGAGGTTGAGGCCAAGACCCAACAATGCAACGTCTTTCACCTCAATCTTTGCGTCAGGCAAGCACCGGTGTATTATCTCTAGGTTTTACATTCAGTTCCCCATTCTCATCGGGTGATGCTTTTGTTTTTCCAGCTACGGGGCCCGTGATGAGATCGTCGGAGCCTGTAAGAAAATCGCTACTGAGGTGGCCCAGGGCGAAACGAGTATCGACGACATCGACGAAAACCTACTTGGCCAGCGCATGCTCACCGCGTACGTTTTCGTGTCCTCTCTTTCGTTTAATTGTTGGGATATCTGAGCTAACTCTTCTGTCTACTTTCGTCTTATTGCACTGCAGCGGTCTACCGGATCCGGATATCATGCTCCGTACGTCGGGCGAGTTGCGCATCAGCAACTTTCTGCTCTTCCAGATTGCCTACGCTGAGCTCATTTTCATGGACAAATTTTGGCCTGAGGTGACACGCGAGGACCTGCAGGACATTATCGTCGAGTTCAACCGCCGCAAGCGCCGCTTTGGCAAATAAGCACAGCCCGATAACCTTCAAGGTATGCATATCTAATCTGGAGTCGCTGGTGCAGCAGAGGCGTCCGCGCAGAATAATCTCAATAAGCAAAACAGGTCTATACGGTAGTTAGGTACATTAACCCGTTAATTAGATCAGCTCCCTCTATTTCTCTCAGGAATCCTTTCCATCTTCTAATTTGTCCACGATGAACTTGACTCGGTAGATGTCTCCCCCTTCGTTACAGACAAATTTCTCTCTATCTGTGGGGATTCCTAGCGGGTTCATAGACAAGGTATCAAAGCTGTAAAATCTCGACATCTCGAAAACCTCCACCATGTACTCGAATAGTTCCTCGACGTCCGTCTGCACGTAGATCGGCGTGCCATTTGGCAAATGTGTGGCCATCTCTTTCACAAACTCCTCCGTCACTAGTCGCCGCTTGATATGGCGCTTCTTCATCCACGGATCCGGATGGAAGATAGACACGCTTGTAACAGGACCAGGTAGAGATTGCAGCAACGTTGTCTGGTGGAAGTTCATGTTGCCATGCACGAAGGCCAAATTGCGGAGTCCTCGCTGCTTAGACTCTCGCTCTGCTTCTCGTAGCACATTGCGACGTATCTCGACGCCGACGAAATTCCGCTCGGATGCTTGAGACTCCGCCACATCCATCAAATATTTACCCCGAGCACAGCCAATGTCCAGGTGTATGGGCAATAAAGTGTCTGCGAAGCATTGCGTCCACTCGGGCAGCTCCACGGGTTGGCGGTAGGTCATAGAGAGTGGGTTCACGTGCTGGCGGAATCGCTTAGAGCCCGACGGTGAGTTGCCCAAAGACGAAGCCTCAACTTTAGAAAAGGACACGCTGAAACTCCTCAGCAAGCGGTCGTGTCTGTGAGCACGAGTTGGAGGCAGCGCAGAGCGCGTCAGACGAAGTCGCGACTGTAGCAACACCATGATATTCTTGACTGGCGGAGCTGTTCGAAAGTGTCAGCTTAATAGTGGACGGTGGATAAAGGGCCCTCTATTTGGAAGAATGATAGCATCATGATTGGCTAAAATACGGCCAAGCACTTTGGACGTGCGAGTCAGTTGTGCAGTTGCATTGATACGTCCAGGTCTACCCAGAGTCAGTTGTGCAGTTGCATTGATACGTCCAGGTCTACCCAGTTCTGTAGGTTATTAGACCCATGGACGAGAACGCGAGCGGCGTGATTTGGCCGCGCGAGGGTCTCGGAAGGCAGACGCTGTCGCAGCTGGAGGACGCGAGTCGCTTCCTGGGGCTGGCCAAGAGCTTTCACAACGGCTTCGAGATGTGGTGGCTAGCTGGCATGCCCATTACTCTTGTGTTTATGCTTACGCTACTCAGCCTTTCACTAGCCTCGGGTGTCAGCGGCCTCGGCAAGTCGGTGCGCTGGCACAAGGTGCTGCCCTCTTCGGTCTGGCGCCTCGTCGGCTGGTTGAGGAGCCTGCTTAACGCTGACTTTACGGTGTTGGAGAAGAAGACGACGTTGACGGCGATGCTGAGAGATGCGGGTGAGCAAAAAATTCCGCGTCACATTGCCGTCATAATGGATGGAAATAGACGCTATGGAAAGGCCAAGTACGGAGCAGGCGTGCGAGGACATGCGGATGGCAGCAAGACGCTTGTCAATTTCACGGACTGGTGTATCGACGCGGGGATGCAGGCACTTACAGTGTATGCTTTTTCTACAGGTGAGCTGGTTGAAAGCTGTGTCGTTCATTGCATGAGCTTCTTAGGGCTGACTTTTGCTCTTTCTCTTTCTATAGAGAACTGGAATCGCGAGCAGTCGGAGGTGGACGCACTGATGAATTTGTTCAACCAGTTCATGCATGAGATTGTGCCTGAGGCGCTGAAGAGGGATGTACGCGTGCGTGTCTTGGTATCTGATGGACGTAAACTGCCTGCATATATTGTTGAGGCGATCAAGGAGATCGAGACTAAGACGCAGGCTTGCTCCAGATTCAGCCTCAACCTCTGCGTCAGGTACGATATCCGGTGCTGATCGGCTCTATTTAAACCATTCAGGCCAGTTAACATTAGGCTGTGACAGCTATGGCGCACGAGATGAGATTGTAGGTGTCTGCAGGAAGATCGCCACAGAGGTTGCCAAGGGCGAGGTCTCCGTTGAGGATATTAATGAGGACTTGCTAAGTCAGCGCATGCTCACAGCGTACGTACTGCCTACTCAAGTTTCAGTGATAACCTGTATACTTACTTTCGACCTCGTCTTCCGTAACAGCGGGCTCCCAGACCCGGACATCCTCATTCGTACGTCGGGCGAACTTCGTATCAGCAACTTTCTCCTGTTTCAGATCGCGTACACGGAGCTGATCTTCATGGATAAAATGTGGCCCGAGGTGACGAAGGACGACGTACAGGACATCATCATTGAGTTCAACCGCCGTAAGCGCCGCTTCGGCAAGTAAGCAACATCATTGTCATTTCAAGACATATATGGCGACACTAGAGCGTTGCCCCCCATGCATTGAGCGTTCAACTCGAACTTTTCGACGCCGGTTGAAACGACTCGACGGACGCGAAAACGACAAAAACTGGGCAAATTACTTGAACATACTAACGGCTTGTCTAAGTACGAAATACCTATACTTTTAAATCAGCCACGTTCGGCAAAATAATTCACAATACATGTACAGACTCCGCCCAGAAACTGAAAAGGGTGGACCTTCTAAGTTCCCAAAGGATATCAAGTAAGTATTGAGTATGGATTCTTGTAAATTATGAGTACAGCGTATGTTCTGCCTATAGAAGCTAAAAGTATGAACGGCTGCGAATGTATAAGCTGTATGTACATAGACAGTGAGTATTTCGCCCGACTGAATTAACCTTCCCCTGCACAATCCCCGGCTCCTTTCCGATGAGCTACATCCGTACGGCGTATATTGCGTATACCCGTTGGAATCAGTGCGCTGCCAGCCACAAAACTTCAAAAGGGGGAAGCGGGAACCGTACGGGGCTGAATGGATCTCCGCGTGCGCGCAGCCCATAAGCGGCCGCTGACGGGGGCCGCTGCGTTGGAAGAGAGCGACAGTGGTAAGTCTGAGAGATCCCAGAACTCCCAGGACAACATCTGGTTGCCAACGCCCGTCGCAAGTAGTGCTGATTCGGCGGAAGACGGCTCGTCGGGGGCTCGGAGTGTTTCAGACGTTCCGGAGTCTACTAGCAGCACAAGCGAAAGTGGTGGGCCCAGTCGTGTGTTGGCCGCATCGCCAAACAAGGTTGAGTTTTCGTCGATTGAAGCCTTTGACCAGTACTTGGCGGCCTATTCAGCCCAAACATTTCAGGTAACGATGAGAACGTTGAGATCATTGTATCTTTCTCGTTAGGTGCTTACCAATTTTGTTTGTGTATCAACGATAGGTCTTCCGGAGCCGCAGTAACACCACAGTGTCTGAGCGCAACGAGCGAATTCGAAAACAGCATTCAAAGGCACCACCAATCCCTGAGTCTTGGGTGCAGTATTCCAGGACATTCATCTGCACTCACGCTGGATCCTATAAGTCTCAAGCCTCGAAGAGACCACGTCAAGAGACTCGAGCGAAGGGTTGCCAGGCAAAGGCAAGTATTGTTTGGTCGGGTCTAGTCGGGTGTAATCTGATGCTAATCAGGTAATCATGTTACGTAGATAAATGCTTGTGTGCAGTTAGTTGACTCGGCCAACCAGACATTTGCAGTAGGAATCACACGCTGTCGGCTGGAGCATAACCATCGGCTACATGAAAACTCTTTCAGAGCCCACTCTTCCAAGCGGGTAGCGCTGACTGATGGCGCCATACAAACTGTTGACGTGCTCCGTCGGTTTGGGGCCAAGAAGACCGGTATTTTGAGGTTCATCACAGACAAGTATAATAGCAATCCGAACTCGCAAGACGTACACAACTTGGTTCGTAAACTGAAAGCGAGAGATAAAAGATGGTCCATCCTCAAGCGAGAAGCGCCTGAAAAAATGGATGAAGGAGTTCGGCGACAAACCCGGTAATGTTGGTCGAATATTTCTTGACGATATCAACAAAAAGGTAAAATGACCTGTTTGCTACAATTTTGGGAACATATATTTAGTTAACCTGTTGTTATTCTCCAGAAAGTAGCTACGTGTATCACGCTCCAGACCAGACATATGCGATTGCTGTACGAACAGTTTCCTGAAGTTCTACTGATAGATGCCACGCATGGAACCAATCGATCCAAGTACAAAGTATTTTCTTTTATGGCTCATGATACCTTTGGCAAGGGACAGTTTATCCAACACGCGCTTCTTCAGAATGAGCAGTACGCTACGTTGCTCACGGCCCTAGAAGAATTCAAGTCAAACAATCCGGCGTTGTCGAGGCTGCAATGTGTACTGGTGGACAAAGATTTTACGGAGCTCTCTGTCTTGAAAGAAGCTTTTACTGGTGTGACTGTGCTGCTATGTCAGTTCCATGTGTTGAAGTATCTGCGCGAAGAAATTGCATCTGCGAATTATGGATTCTACAAGACCCAGAAGGAGCAGCTTGGAGGGGTGGTGAGCTTGCTTGTGTATGCGAAGACGGAGGCGAAATACGAGAAGCACTTCAAGTATATGGTCCACCTTGCTTCGATTGGGTTCTCTGCTGCAACGTCTACTGACGTGGCGTCAAGCGACGCTCAGCCAGCGGTGGAACGTAGTAGAGCTGCCGTAGTCGGGAGTGAGTCGGGTGGAGTCGAGAGTGAGTCGGGTGCTGTCGGGTCTTCAGTCGGGAGTGCGTCGGCATCGGACGTTGAGCACCCATTTGTTGCGTACTTTCGGAGGAATTGGGATGATTGTCGTGGACAGTGGTGTGCGTATAAACGTCAGAATACTGTCACACTTGGTAACAATACGAACAATCGGATGGAAGCTTCGTGGAAACAACTCAAGGAATGAGTGGGCTCCATCATGGCAGTGGACGAATGCATTGCGTCCATAATGTACTACCAAACTCTGCAGGAAAAACTGTTTCTCTCGGAGATCTACAAAACTGTGGTCGTGCACCATCCTGAGTATGACAGTGAGATGTCCTTAGTTGCAAACATTGTGAGCGAACATGCGTGTGAGCTCATCCACATGCAATATCCGGATGCCCTTGGACCGGCTGCGTATATCTTTTACGAAGGTTGCCCTGGGGTGTATTTCGTCAAGAGTGTGTGTGAAGATGATGACGCACTGGATGAGCGTAATGCTGAGTATTGTGTCACCAAGCGCGACTGGTCTTGCTCATGTTTGTTCATGAGCACGCGTTTGTTACCATGCCGACACGTTTTCTTCCTTCGCAAAGCTCTTGGTCAAGAAACAATTATCCCGACGCTACTATTAAACAAGCGGTGGTTGGTTTCAAACGTTCGCTCAGCACTGGAAAATAGCACTTCAAGTAGCGCAGAAAATGAACCTAGCTCATTTGAGGTGAAGACTGTTCTTCCTGGGCGCGAGCGCCCTTGGGATTCGAATCGAAAGTTCCGAGAAGCATTGCCCATTGCCTCGGAGATCTGTGACACGATGGCTGGTCTAGGTATGACCCAGTATCGACAGGCAATGCAATATCTCCAAGAAGTGGTTGGTCAGTTCAAGGATGGTAAATTTGAAGATCCTATTCGAGAAACAAACCAGCTGGAGCTTTCGCAAACGAGTGGGCAGCTTTCCGATATTTTGGTGCCTCTAACACAACTATATAGTACTACCCACGCACCAGAGACTGCTGTTGGGAGAAAACCACATCAACCACTTCTCACTGGCCATGCCCACAGCACGAGTGGCGATGAGTTGCTTACCGATCTAGTATCAGAACCTGAAGAAGTCGGCCTATTCCAGGAGCCAAGTGGCGTTTCACCGCAGTCGGGCCAATCGGGTGCAGTCGAGTCTGAGTCGGAACCTCCACATGAATCGGGCCAATCAGTCCCAGTCGGGTCTGAGTCGGGGATTTCACGAACTCTTCCAACAGCAACCGAAGAAACGACGTTCGTTATTGCCAGCCCACCACGATCGAGAGGACGCCCGAAGCAATCTGCTAAAGCGAAGAAGGCGGCACGTAAGAAGGCGGTTGTTGTTGCTCAAGAAGACTCCGAGCTTCATTCGTTGAACCTGTGCCTAGCATCCGTAGAAACCGCACTGTCGGGCGAAGCTACCTACGCATCTGCGGCTGCAGTTCTCAACAAGTTTAAGGTGATTGAGTACGGCACTAAGTTCAAGGCCCCGACTGTACGAACGATAGCATCGCTACCACCAACCAAGCCTATTATCCCTCCAGCCTCCATCACGCGCATACTGCGTCCTGAACAAATCAGCATCTGCAACCAAAAAGTCACAGCATTCCAGTCAAAGCACAAAGGTACTGCCGAAAAAGATCTGGTCGTCGATATACCTGGCTTCGGCGTGTACTTGACAAGCACGATGCGGACTATGAAGTCTTGGCACACAGCGATGAAGACCATCAACCAAGTGGGAAAAATGACGAAGTGGGTGAACACTGTCGACTTTTCATTGCCTATGCCATCCTCATTTCGGGTGCAGGAGCAGCCAGACGTGACGACGAAAGCAAAAGCGATTCCTGTGTCTTCCAGAAAGGTATAAATACCCATCTCTGGCCTGCTTCATCATATTATTCTGATTAACTATTGTATAATATGCAGGCAGCCATTCTGGACCTTGTAGGTAAAACATGCCTTAGTGAAGACACCATGAACATCGTTATGGCTAAACTGTTTGGATCACGAAGTGATGTAATCATCGTGGATCCAAGTATAATCGGCTCTGTTGAAGGCGAAGCAATGCCAGGGATTGCCGCCGTTTTTGCTGATGTTTTTGCCAGTGTCACGAATGAGAAAATCTTCATCCCCGTATGCTGAAGTAAAAACCATTGGTGCGGCATCTGGAAATGGCGGAGGCGGCTGTCTACGATCCAATGGGCTCGACCTATACACTTAAAGTCCGAGCACTCACGGAGGCTCTTCTAGTGCAGCTACCAGACTACGCCCCACGAAAGTTTCGAGTCCGCCCGTACCATACAGACCTCGGGGTTCAAGTCGACAGCTATAATTGTAAAATTTACGTCCTTGTGGCGTTTGAAGAGATTGCCGGTGCAAAAGGTCTCTGCATGCTATCCAGAAAGGAACTTCAGAATCTACGTTACAGATACATTTGCATGTGCGCTTAGTTAACACTCTAAACAAGTCAATCTTTGTGTTTGCCCTTACAGTTTGTACGTGCCGCCACACACTATCAGCGTAGAACACTGCAGAATCCCGCAAACACTATTCACACGCTCAGTGCTAAGTCTTTCACATGCCGCCACACACTATCAGCGTAGAACACTGCAGAATCCCGCAAACACTATTCACACGCTCAGTGCTAAGTCTTTCACATCCGAATATACGTATAGCAGCCATGCGCTTCACACGATTGCTCAACCGGCTCTTATATTGAGTCGGGCACTGTCGGTCATCGATCGGATGTACACCGACGGACAGAATGCAACTGCCACTTTCCCACTGGTACAAAAGCGGTCAGATGACCACAGCACTTTTTTTTACAGTAGCAAATTACCAAGAGTTTTTGGCAAAGTTAGGTAGGCAGTTGTATTTAGCACTAAAAGTTGCTTTTAAGTGCTTTGTTAAAGGCACTCGTGACGGTGGCTGCCTCAATGGATTCCCAAGCTGTTATGACACGCTTTATCGTAGCTAGGCGTTTTTCCTTAGCAGTCTTTGCTGTAGCATTCTCGAACAACCACAGAGCCTTGAGCTTTGCTTTCAAAGGCCCCATGATACCAACATCTAAGGGCTGGCAAACCGAGGTTGCATTCTTAGGTAGTGGCTGGAGCACAGACATAAGCTCGTCTGACACGATTGCCTTGGACTCACCCGAGACATGGCACTCTAAGTTATCTACGAGTAGTAGAGAAGAGCGTGTAACGTGCTGCTGCAGTAGTGAGCGTAGGTAAAACTTCCATACGCGGGCATCCATCCACGCTTTAGTCTGAACAGTATACATATGTCCTAAAAACCATTACCGTAACCCCGTCAGTTAGTAAATAACAAGCATAAATAATAAGATAGAATAAATATGTACCGTCGGGGTATGTAGGCAGCTCTTCTCTCTCGATAATGCCGTTTTGCTCTCCACGCAAAATGAAGAGCAGTGGAAGCTTCACGCCATCCGCGCGGATAGTGCATACAGCCGTCAATCGAGCGGAATGCTTCTGTTGAGCTGTAATAGCTGAAGACTGACCTCTCTCGGATAGTATCTTGCCCGGCGGTGCGTCGAAGTAAATTCCAGTTTCGTCACAATTAAAAACTTCGCTTGCAGCATAGCTATTGTACTTAGACTTAAAAAGTTTAGCGAAACTGTCCCGTACTTCTACCAAGTCTTCCAGTTTTTCCTATAAATAAAATATCAAAATGATCAAATTAGATCAGTTTCATACAATTTATAAGTCAAAGCACTACCTTTAAACCGTGCGGTGTGCGCTGCACGAAGCCATGCCGATAGGCAAAACGTCGTAGCAACCTTTGTAGAGACTGATACGCAGTATATTCGTCCTTCTTGCCCTTCAAGTAGTCCTCCGGCCACTCTGATTGCTCCTCTCGAATGTACGCGGCCATTAGAGATGCAGTAAGCGGCAGGGATTCGCGTCGTGTCTCCTTCATAAAGTTGACGAGCATAGCGCTAAGCGGTATTATCTCGCGGCGACCTGGTGCCCGCGACAGGGTCTTCTCGCTGCCTTTAAACGCAAAGATATCGTCTTCGCTCTTCCTCCATGACGTTAAAGTCCATCGAGGGATTTTTTGAGACGTGGCAGCCTCGCGCTGACGTTAACCCTGTGTTGCTATAAGAGCATGTCGTTTCTTCTTCATTGTATAATGCATCCGACGCTGTTTAGGCTCCGCGTATACCTCGTCAAGTAGGTCTGCAATCGCCACGATTTCTGGTGGTGACGGAGGCTCAGGTGGGGGCTCCGACCGGCGTTCGGACTCGAACTCCGAGGTGGTTTCAGCTACACGTACCGCCTCCATTTTACCAAGTGACTGGTGCAGAATAACCACTGCAGTTCAGCTGTACAATGTAACGTTTTAGCTGTTTTGATTGGCTTATTTGGTAGATTTGCAAGTGGCAGCGCCCGTTTTACGTTGAATTTTAATGGCAGTTGCATTCTGTCCGTCGGTGTAGTTGGGTACCGTGAGCCTGGCTCTTTCACATGAATCGGGCGAAATAACGAGTGCCATGTACATTTTCAGTTTCTGGGCGGAATCTCTGTTATCTTAAACTAAACCTCTGTTATACAATGATATATGCTTGATGATAGTTTCTTTTTTACGCAGTGGCACCGAAGCGCCACAGTAACCTTCGCATACTGTAGTCAAGTCAATTTGCACCTCTCCCGCCTTACCAGTATGGTGAGCTCCGCTCGACGCAGCCACACCAAGAAGAGCAAGTCCAAGGACTCCAAGGACTCACCCACAGTGGAGCGTAGGGCGCCTCCGAAGGCGGAGACGACTGAGACCCTAGTGAGCGATCCACCGCCAGCTAAACCCGCAGCCATGAAGACCAAATTCTGCCTCAACTGCCAGAAGGACCTGACGCGTAACATCCGCATCACGTGCGCCGAGTGCAAATCTCAGCCACATTTTGAGCTGTGCGTTGAATGCTTTGCTGTGGGGATCGAGTTGGGCGATCACAAGAAGAACCACAAATACACAGTCTCGGACTGCTTGGCCTTCCCCCTCGTACACGAGCTGCTCACGACTGAAAGCGCGACGGTTACGCCCCCAGCGGTTGGCACAAATGCTGCTGCCTTCCTCGCCACCAGCAATGACGCTGCCAATGTTGTGTGGACAGCGGACGAGGAGCTGCTGCTGCTCGAGGGCATCGAGGTGTTTGGCATGGGCAACTGGAAAGACATTGCCGAGCATGTTGCGACGAAGACGGATAAAAAATGCGAAAAGCATTATCTGACGGCGTATTTGGGCTGGAAAGATCTGGTGCCTAGATTCCTTGGCGATGTGACTGAGGAGAGCAATGGGGAGGGGAGCAAGGAAGACAATCATGTAAGCATTGAGGAGAAGGCGGCGGAGATGATCGCGGCCTCGGATCAAGTGGTGAGAGGTGCCCCGGGAGAGCGGAGTGGGCCCAGCCAACTGGCTGGCTACATGCCGCTGCGTGGAGATTTTGACGTTGAATATGACAATGAAGCTGAGATAATTCTGGCAGATATGGAGTTCTCGGAAGGAGATCACCCTGCTGAACGCGAGTTGAAGCTGAAGGTCATTCAGATTTACAACCAGAAACTAGCGAAGCGTATGGAGCGCAAGAAGTTTGTGGTGGAGCGAGGGCTTTTGGATTATAAGTTACATCAGCATACGGAGCGTAAGCGGCCGAAGGAGGAACGCGAGCTGCTGGCCCAGGTGCGGCCGTTCGCGCGCTTTCAGACGCCGGAAGACCACGAGAAGTTCGTGGAGGGCTTGATCACAGCGATGAGACTCAAAAAACAGATTCTGCTGCTGCAGGAATACCGCAAAAACGGAGTCAAGACGCTGGCTGAGGCTGAATTGTACGACGCGGAGAAGAAGAAGCGCGAACTAGACCAGGCGATCCAGAAGCAGCGGGACAGTGCCTCATATTTATACGAGTCGGGTCGCACGACGTCGAGCCGCGATCGTGCGAACAGGTGGCAGAATCGGGAGCAAGGTGCGAGTAGCGATGCGGGTGCAGAAAGCTCTAGAACGAGAGGATCCGGTGCAGTTGCAGGTGGACTCAACGCGATTGCAGCAACATTTTCCGTTGAGGGCACTCCAGGCTGCCACTTGCTGACTCCGAAGGAGAAAGAATTGTGCTCCAAGCTCAAGTTGCTGCCAAAGGTATTTGCTTTTTTCTTGCTGGTGCTCGCGCGCGCGTTTAGCTAGCCAACTGACTTTATTGCGGTCTATTTTTTTTGTAGCATTACTTGGTGATCAAAGACGCGTTGGTTCGCGAGTGTTATCGGTTGGGTTACTTGAGCAAGAAGATGGCCAAGGAGACGGTGCAAATCGGTGCGTAGTACACATTTATTCGGAGTGGTGTGGCCAACTCACTTTTTTTTGGTGCCTCGTACAAGATGTAAACAAAACTGGCCAGGTCTACGACTTTTTCGTCAAGTGCGGCTGGGTCAAGTCGGAGAATGCTACTACGACAGGTTCGGATTGCTGCTGCAATATTAATAGTGGATAAGTTGCAGTGCTGTGGTTAATAATTTGCTCGCGTTTGTATTTTGATGCCACAGTTTCGTCCTCATTGAAGACCAAGAGCCCTAAGAAAGGCAAAAAGCCATCGATGGAAGCTTTCAGTAGCGCTTCAGTAATTGCAAAGAAAGAAGAGCAGCAGTCCATGACGCCGACCAAGCGTAAAGCAGCTGAGATGGAGACAGGCACGAAATTGTGAGCAGATCAACGTCGTTAATAGGAGAAAGCTCTCAGCGTCAACTTGTGTCGTGTCACGCTGTTAGAAAATCCAAAGTGTTTATTCAGTGATTATCATGCGACTCGAATGGAGGTGGCTGGAGGATCATGGCAAGGCAAAGTCTACTCCTGGAGGTCATCATCCTTGGCACATCCACCTCGATCGTGAGCGTCACATGATCAAATACGGGTACAAATACTAAACTCTAAATTGTGCCCATTTTCAGCCACACTTTTCAAATTAGACAAACACAAAGCATGGGTAACATCCTGGAGGAGATCGCAGCGCAGCGCCGTCTGGACGTGGCGGCCGCCAAGCAGGTCATATCCGCCGATGATCTGGCCAAGAAGATCGAGCACGCGGAGGTCGTTTTCGGCTCGACCCTGCCCGTGCTTGACCGCCTTAACGCACCCACGGTGCGTCCGGCAGTGCAGGGAATCTGGAGAAGAATCTGCGTCTAACGCAGCTACCGCTGTACTGTATTTTTTCCTTGTATTTATGGCAGAGAGAGGGGTGGTCCGACGTGGCTCTGGCTGCCGAGTTTAAGCGTGCGAGCCCCAGCAAAGGTGACATCGCCACGGAGCTCAATCTGCGTGAGCAAGTGCAGGCCTACGCCAACGCAGGTGCCAGTATGATCTCCGTACTGACAGAGCCCAAGTGGTTTAAGGGATCGCTAGACGACATGAGGGCAGCCCGGGAGGTGGTCGAGGGCATGAGTCAGCGTCCTGCCATCCTGCGCAAGGATTTCATCATCGACGTGTACCAGTTGCTGGAGGCCCGCGCTTACGGAGCGGATTGCGTGTTGCTCATCGTTGCGCTGCTGTCCCAGGAGCAGCTTATCGAGCTCATTGACGTACGTCGCCCCGCTTGCACTACATGTAGTGGGTTTACTGTACACTGACAAGCCTCTTGTTGGTTTGTAGGCCACCCACAATCTCGGTATGTGCGCTCTGGTCGAGGTGAACAGCATCCAGGAGCTGGACATCGCTCTGGCTGCGAGGGCTCGACTCATTGGCGTCAACAACCGCGATCTCCGCACGTTTAAGGTAGACATGAACACGACGGCTCGCGTTGCAGACGCTATTCGTGAGCGTGGGCTTTCGCTGGGACGTGACGGCGTTACGCTCTTTGCTCTCAGTGGCATTCGCTCGCACGCAGACGTGGTCAAGTACGAGAAGTGCGGCGCCCGGGGCATCTTGGTGGGCGAGTACTTGATGAAGAGTGGTGATATTGCCGCGACGGTGAAGGATCTCTTGCAGAATGTGACGCGTCACACCGAGTCGGGCGAATTCGCTTTGGCTCCTCCGCTTGCCAAAGTGTGCGGCGTCACGACAGTGGAGTACGCGCTGGCGGCCTTGCGTAATGGTGCCAATATGATTGGTATCATCATGGCGGAACACTCACCCCGCTATGTCCAAGTGGAGGAAGCCAAGGCCATTGCCCAGGCTGTGTGGGAGTATGGGGAGCGCACGGGCCCTATTCTCTCAGACATTGTGGAGACTCACTTGGACGGCAAGAACGACTGGTTTCATAGAAATGTCCTTGCGTTGCGTGAAGCTTGCTCGCGTGCACCTCTCGTGGTCGGAGTGTTTGTCAACAAGACAGCTGCCGAGATGAACGCGACTGCAAAGGAAATCGGACTGGACTTGGTACAGCTACACGGCGACGAGGGGTTTCAGATCTGCAGGGACATTAAGTACCCCACCATTCGCGCGTTGCATCTGCCCGACACCACGCTCTGCGACGGCGTGGACGCAGAAGCCGTTCTACAGCAGGTTCAGGAAGGCCTTGCCAACTACATTCTGCTTGATACGACCGTGAAGGGTCAGCAGGGCGGCACTGGCGTCACATTCGACTGGAAGATTGCAGCCATCTTTGCGCAGGCACGACTTCCCTGCCTCATGGCTGGTGGCCTTACCCCTGAGAACGTGGTGAAGGCTCTATCGGTCGGTCACCCCGTTGGGGTGGATGTTAGCAGTGGAGTGGAAGTGAAAGGTTCACCTGGTGTGAAGGATATGGACAAGGTGACTGCGTTCCTAAAGGCTGTGAAGGATTACCTCTCGATTGCTACGCTTAAGATCGAGGAGGAGACGGAAACCTAGAGAGAGACCCTCGGAGTGTTCTAATCAATGAGGGCCACTAATGAAGTGCTTTTACGTTACGAGCTTGGATGCTGCAGCAAGAGTGATGGTGCAAGAGTGATGGTCTGAAAGTTGAAGTTTGTCTCATTCCTGCAATAAATGATGCAGTTACAGTCGTGCACTGTAAAAGAACCATCCCACACATTTTGATCGGGCGTCGCTCTCAGATTTCGTTTTTGCAGGTGTGCGCAGTTAAGTGTTTTAGCAGTTTGAGCACTCGCACGACACGCCAGGCAAGACCGTGCACGTATTCTGTGTTGGCAGCGGATAGAGGTATGCATATTCGCAAGAGAAAGATTAACCCGTGCATAGGCTAGATCGGCCACAAACGTTGGCGGACTTAACTCGATCAATTTTTAACGTTAGGCGAATTTACACAGCTCCCACATTTCTACCAATCAAAGCTCTGACACATCTATGAATTCGTGATTGTGCTAGCTACTATCATTGCCATACATTATACTTGAGTTTGGTAAGATCTTAGGTGGCCGATTTATTTGGCAAAACCATGTGGGACTGCGAATTGCAGCGCGTTTACACAGTTCCCACATTTCTACCAATCAAAGCTCTGACATATCTAAACAGCAATTCCTCACGTTAAAAAAATCGATCGAGTTAAGGCTACCAACGTTTGTGGCCGATCGAACCTGGCGCGAAGTGTAAGCGTCGACATTGGTCAATTACTAACGTGAGGATTTAGCGAGCATTATACGACGCGAATACGTGTTGAACTGACTTAGACTGCTGCACACCCACATAGTAGTGCAATGACGATGTATTCATAGTGCTTGAGAAGACACTCCTTTCTAGGCGCAAATGCCAGTTTATTGGCGTTGGCCAAGAAATTTTTTAGCAATACAGTCGATGTACCCATCCGATAAAATATTTATTTTACAGCCAGACTTCAACATGTTGCATTTTTACTTTTACAACTGACAACATTGGCCACCTACGCGTAGAAAGTAGATCAAACAAACATTTAACAAGTGGCAGCTAGAACGATGAGTGAACAGGCAGACGGTAATCCCGATGGGCACTTAATGCTGGAGGATAGTGATTCTGACAGTGACGGCTACACCGAGGCGGGACGGTGCCCTCCGTGGACACGAATTTGGCGCTTCACAGAGGTTGATGCTTAGGCTGTACTTGCCGAGCGCGCCGCTTCGCGGCGGTGGGTCAGTGGTCAGTGGTGGGTCCCAGCTGTGTAGGCCACCCGCCTCCGCTTCGCTCCGACGGGCTGATGTTTGTGTGTTTATTCATCACGAGAAATATTAAAAGGAGAAATGTCACTGTAAAACCGTCTTGTATTTAGAGAGAGGCCACATTCTCACCCATGAAGGCCACTGGCCTCCGCTTCGCTCCGGCAAGTCGAGATTTTTCTTCGTTTGTTAGCGAAACGACGTGGAAAACGGTGAAACAATTATTCCTACCTACGCTCAAAGATCTATTTGTACACTAAGGTTTCAGTGTAAACTCCGTCCTCCTTCTCAGCTTTGGGTATTCGATCAGTACCTTAAATCACTCCGCCGCCGCTTTGCGACGGCGGTTGCATGATTTTTTTGATGTGTGGTGTCCGGAATTTTAAATACTTGGTGGTGCAGCGTGACTTCGCTTAGGATCTTGTACCTCAAGGCTTCAGCCACCTCAGTACGACGTAGTTTCGCTACTTAAAGCCCCTACCATTCCGTAGTCTCATGTGACGGTGTAAGATATCGTGGTTTTGTAGCCTACCGATGCTCTGTACTACATATTGGATGTCGTGTTCTTTCGTGGCCCGTGCTCTTCCGTGTCCTTCCTGGCTTCGTGGTTTCAAGCTCACCCGTAGCTCACCCCGCTTAGTGATTAAGTGTTATCGCTTTGGTTTCATGCTCTCTCGTTACCCCACCTCTTTCGTAGCTGCTAGCTATTTCGTGCTCCCAAGGGTTTACGTGAGCTCCACAGGTTTGTGGTCCAAAATCATTCATGGTACATGGCGTCTCATAACCGGTACCCTCGTCGATGGGTGCTTTTCCGTAGCGGTGTTGATTTGTCGCCCATGTATCGTGCGTTCCTGGTGTGGATTCATCGACCGCGTTATCGCGCTATCGTGCAATCGCGGTGTTGTTCTGCTATCCACGCTATCGCGAGCTCATAGTGTAAATTTGTCGACCACGGTATCAGGTCATGCCATCGTGCTCCGTGATGTAGCATCTTGCTCTCCTGAAGCGTCCTCCCGTGGGACCGCCGTCTGTGCTATCATATTCTATTGTAATATTACTCTCCGTGGTTCGGTGAGCTCCGGTCCTACCCTGGTACCGTATTTTAATGCTCGGTAACCTCCCGTTTATGGTCTTTCGCGGTTCATGCTTGGTCCGTCGACCGTGCTCCGTGCTCCACCGTGGTGTAACGGAATAATTCTTTTTCCGTGCGTTGTCACAGCTACGTGGTCTATGTGGGGTGTTAATATTTCGGCTCTCTTCCGTGGCCCATACAACCCCGTCATACGCTTTCCCTCCCATTTTTTAGGGTTGCGCGCTCTTCCGTGGTTCGTGCATTTCAGAATCGCTAGGTGCCCTCATTGATTTTGTCCTCTTTCATGGTCCGTGACCTTTCGTGCTTCGTGCCGTTTCTTCTATTCCATCATGTACATGGTGTTCCACCGTGTTCCGTGTTCTTGCTTAATCACGTGCCTCCGCGCTAATTTAATCACAACTACTACTTCCAGTGGCTTGAAGGTACGCTACGTATCGTGTTGATAAAAGGGCACTCTCTAAAGGTCGCACACTACACGCGCAAATACAAAGGAAGACGATTTTTCTTTTCGGGGCGGTGGAGTGGGGGTGAAGGGTGGGAGGCCACTATACACTATAAAAGTTTTAAGTATTTAGTATTAGTAGTAAAGTTGTGTATTTTTATCTACCACAATCATGTGTAATACTACAAATATCGCAAGCACATATTTACAGGAAATTATAATAGTATAAGCAGAACAATCTTGTAAGTAAAACTATTATAAAATTACTACGAAGCTTAAAACCTCATATTTTAAACAAAAGTACCGAGAGGACTATTCAAGACTCGATATGGGCCACCAGGGCCCACAATTTCTATTAACAGATTGTGTAACCATACGTTGCGTGCGCATGGACCGACGCGGCCTACTAATGCTAACTAATGCGCACACATGCAGCGCCCTTTGCGTGAAGTGGCGCTCCGCGGCTGAAAATGGGGGCAAAATGAAATTTAAGCCCCCGTGCTTTTAAGTACGATATGTCGACACATAAAATGTGAGCAGCGCAAAATGTCAGTTTTAGCTAGTTACGACTGCCTTCGCTGCACTCGGCAGCCAGTAGAATGCACGTATTAGCGCTATCCTCAGACAGACTTACATACCTATATACCGCTACAGACGTTGCCTCGGGCTCCCGTTCGGCGCTCGTCCAGCAATCGCACGCGCCGTCCGTTGTCTGTCGCCGCCGCTCCGCTTTTCGAAATGGGGCGGAAAGAAAGAAGCGCAAATATATTAGCCAATCAGCGGGCGGTAGTAGTATTCAGTAGTATTTATCCTAAGATTTGACTCAATATCGGCAAGTGACCGGGGCCGCCTTCGCTTCGCTCGGCAGCATTTTGCTCAGTGAGAAATGCGTATTTGTGCTATGGACGGAGTCACCGACAGACAGACACGTTAGTAAAGTAGTGTTTTAGATTCCGTACAGGTCTACTGTCACACCCGTCGACAAAAGTAATCAAGTTGGTTGTGCAATGGACCATATATTTAACAGCGACTATGCTCTACATCGCTGTGGCCACTCAATGCGTTCCAAACTAGTCCCCTGTCGCTCGACACGCTGTAAATACCAGCAAGAGGAACGCCATTGTCGAGGAGCATGACAATGGCGTGGCTGGACCACCCCTTCCCTGTCCTTGTCGATATAAGTTCAAGTTGTGCCTGTCGTCAGATTTGTGCGAGGTCTTTTAGCATGGCGCACACATCAGGAACATAACGCTCCTTTAACTCCCGTAGAACGCAAGCTTACTCGTGAAATGAAACGCTATATGATGGAAAGTCTAAGTGCCGGGGAGAAAACTACATCCGCTAGATTATACACACTGATGTGCACCTTAGTAGACAAGAACGAGATATCTGGCCCTACTCCTAAGAACACACAAATTTCCGACTTTGTGAAGAACTGGCGTCGGAAGAACCCAAGGATTCCATAGCACCACTAATTGATCTTTGCGACGGTCGACTCTATGACCAGCTACACATCCAAACTCTATCAGACACATCAATCATGATCCTCTGCGATTCGCAACCGAATTTCGATCCCGGCATCTTTGGGATGGCTCAAAAACCTATCCACTACGCGTAGGTACGACATGCTTAAAGATGGATATAAACTACATCGATGTGCAAAACAACCCCAACTACAGGACAATTCTTCACATTACCAGTACCCACAATATGGCGATTAATGATTATGTCGTGTTCGCATTCGGATTTTCGGATCTCGGTGGGCACTCCTACCCGATGGTGTACTTTTGCCCTTCGCAAAAGCGCACGAGACACATCAGATGGTGCATTCGCTACGTAAAGCGAGTATGTATCGATGTGTATGGAGTCGATTTTGATCCAAAGTTTGTAATGATGGACGCCGACATAGCGCAATTTAATGTGTCTTACGGAATATGTGACGGGGTCACACAGCACCTTGCGCTAGAGGAAGTTATCTTCCGAGAGTATACAAACTCTCAGTGAACGGCAGTTCACAGGCCCCCTCTTTAATTAAAGAGAGCGAAGTGACCTAAATAAGGTAGATTGTAAACTGAGTATATTTATAGGTAGGTTAAGTTTGAGGTTAATACAAACTATCAGTTACCTATAGAAATGCAATGTCATTTAACCAATGGTTGGTTTTGAATGACCTTGGTACCTTGTACCAAATATCCCGGAGTATGACATGTCATACTCCTGAAGTGTGAAGTGTCACACTTCATGTAACCAGGGTACACTTAGTGCTACGTACCCCGTTACATCCTCCCCCACTTAGGTT